ACCTTCCCATGCCAGCAATCTTACTATATCATTCAGCCTGTTTCATCCTAGTTTTTACTTTCAAGTTTTCACTACTTCCCATGACTGTAAGCTGCACTAAAGCCATTTTCCTGGTAGAGAAACAGGGTCCAAACCAAATCAGCTCTATAGTTACCTTGTTTCTGATGCGTTGATTGTATGTTTGCCTGTTTTAGCTTTGTATTGTTCATTCCAGAGTCTGTCAAGATATGGAGAGGTATTCAAAGAGTAAAAGTAATGCAAATAAAAAATAAGCACATGCTTTTATTTGACTTGGGTGTGGCTGTAGAAATCTCCTGTTCTTCAACAGGAAAAATGCAACAGGCAAAACGAATTCCTAAAATAGTTTGATGAATGATTCTCCCTCTCTTTCGGTGGGTCTGCCAGAGAAAGTTGCCCCACACTTAAATGATCAGGTTCCTCTGACGAAGCCGGGCAATTGGTCCCTCCGGGTCAGCGCTGGAAAGACACTTCCGCCCCAGTCGGGTCTTCCAGAACCAGAACCAGCGACTGCATTGTGCAAGCAGCTGCCCCCCCCCACCCCCCGCAAGGCAACTTCGTGCTTCCGGGACAACCCGAAATGTGTCGAATGCTCCTATCTGGAAGGAGGCAGGTGGGAAGAGCCGCAGGGACTTGCCTCCTTCTAGAAGCGAAAGCGTAGGCTTGTCTCCGGACTTTCTCTAGGAAGCCCTCGGCTGCCCTTCTGCAAGCCTCGTGCCACTTGCTCGGTGCGAAAAGGGTTGCGTGGAAACGGGGAGACCCAGCCCCCGGCAGCGGCTTCCGGGCCCATGTGCTCCAGGACGGACTGTGACAGGCACACATTTTAATGAACTGCTAATCAAGTTTGTGCAAAAGACCTCCCCAAGCTGCGCAGCCCCGGCACCCCTGTTGGGTGGCCGCTGCTGGGCGAGGGGCGGGGGCTGCAGCCCTGCGGATTCTCGTGGCCCTTTGGGGACTTTCCTTTGCACAGGTCCCATCTGGATGGGCTGTCCAGCTCAAGGGTTGGAGGCGCTGTTTTCCTGCTCGGAAGGAAGCGCAGTCACCCAGGTGGATCAGGTCCGCAGAGCGGGGGTGCTCCTGGATCCAGCACGTTACACGAGGGGCTGGTGGGCACAGAGCCCCTCTGTCCCTTAAGGGGATAGGCCAACAGTGCCCCTCCCTGGACAGGATAACCTGGCCACAGGGGTCTGTGCTCTGGCGAGCTCTCGCTTGGATTGCTGCCGGCTGCCTTTGAAACGGACTGGAAGCGCCGGCCAGCAGGGCTGTTTGCAGGGGCTGGGGGCCAGGGCCACTTTAGGCCAGCCGGTTAGGTCTCCACCAGATGCCAGTCCCTGCCCAGGATGTGCTGGCATGGACATCCAGGAGCCTCAGGGGTGAGGGGCCGGGGAGCCCTGGCCAGGGGGACACGGGAGGGTGGCTACGAGGAAGAGGGCCACTTCTGCCGCGGCACCTGGCTGTGGACCGAGCCCCCTGGAGGGCCCTCTTTCCTGGACCAGCTGAAGACCTCCTTGTTTCCCAGCAACTTTCCCAGAAATTTCAGTTTTGGTTCGCTTCCAATTTTGCACTGCACCAGAAGTCGCTTTCTGCTGCTCTTACCCTGGTTCTTATTTTTATCTTACCCTGTAGTCTTAGCCATTTAAATGTCTTACTGCATTCATGTTTTAAAATGGGGAGGTTTGCACCTGAATGGCAGGCTTGGGGTTAATCTTCAGGTTGGGGTGAAGGTCAGGCAAACCTGGCTCCGCGCAGGCCAAGAAACTAGCCTTGATGGGGTGACTGGGGAGTGGCCCGCTGGAACGCCCCGCTCAGCCAGTTGGAATCCTTTCCCCCAGCAGAAGGATATCCGCGCTCTGCCCCACACTTCCTGCCCGGGCCTGCCTCAGACGCCCCCGGCCCAGCTCCGCAAGGAGGGTGGCCCTCTGCCTCCCCACCTGTGGAGATGGGCTTCCCTTTGGGGAAAGCGGGAAGCAGTGGGCCCAGAAGACCCTTGGGGTAAAGCAGAGCTGAAGTCAGGTCACGGGCGGAAGCGAGGATATGGACGGAGACGTATTTCCTGGCTCTTTATGCTGCCTCTGGAGCCTGTGCACTTTGTGGGAGCAGAGTGGAGAGCAACACTGGACCCCATCCAGCGTGTCTGGACAGAAGCCCTCTCCCCGCCTCTTGCGGACCCTTCCAAGGACCTGGAGCATTCTGGGCCGTGCTTCTCTTGGAGCGGGAGCGATCCCCTGGGTCACAGCAGGCGGGGACATCGCGCTGGCCCGAATCCTGGGCGGAAGGGGAGCGCCGGCGCCACTCCCGGCCTCAGAGACCCCGGCCCCTGCAGCACCAGACCACCCATGAGCCAGCGCCCCGCTCTCGGAGAGCGGCCGGCGGGACGGAGGAGTCTCCTCAGGAGCAGCCCCTGGCCTGCCGCGGGGCCGCAGGGGGCGCTCGGGCGAGGGGTCCTTGCGGACGCGCAAGGCGCTCGGGGCTGCGCTGAATCCCAGCTCCCGTCCCCGGGCAGGACGAAGGAGGTGGCCGCCCCCTGGTGGGTCACCCTGGGAGTGCAGACGGCTCGCCGGGAAACTTTCCTGGGCGCCCCAGAGCACGTTTCAGCCTCGACGCGAAATGCAATTCTGTGAAGATCTTTCCTCTTCCCTCTCCCGCCCCTCCCCAAATGCCATATTCTAACAGCATCCACAAGCAGCAGTATCGAGACAAGTCCACTCAGGAGAACGCAGCTCGTCTCCCGCATGCTTCGTTTTTCCTCCGGCGCAGGCAGGCGCGGGCGCACGACCTCTGCAGGCCAAGGGCGTCAGTGCTTGGTTGGAGGTTGCTCCTCCTGTCTCCTTCCGAAGGTGCGGATCACAGCCCGCTGGCAGCCCTGGTCTATCCAGTTGGAGCTTCCGGATTCTGCCTGTGGTATGAATCGGAAGCAGCTGCCCGGCCCCAGAACGAGGCTCCCAGTTTGACTTCGCTTAGACTGGAGCAATGCTCCGTTTGCTCAATGGCCTCAACACTGTTGCAGGCCGGACGCCTGCCCTCGCAGGGCAGCCCCGCAGAGTCTTCTCGCACCTCCCGTGGGCTCCTGAGCTGCACAAGCTCATCTGCCTTGGCCCCCCTCGCCTTGCCGGGCAGCAGCCGGCCCTCTTCCGCTGGCTTCCCCCGGCTGCCTCACCCCATTGCAGTTCCTCCGGCTCGCTTCCAAGCCCCGTCCCCACACACACGCGCTGTGGGGCGCAAACATGAGCCCTGGCGTGGCCTGAGCCCGCTCCATGTGTTGTCCGTGGGTTTACTCCAAGCAGGAACAGTGGTGTGTGCCACTTTTCCTTTCCACATTTGAGTGTTTTAAAATCTGACTGTCTCTCCAACTCGTGCAGGAAGAAGCTTGTGAGGTCTGGTGGACTCTTCTCAAAAGCTGACTAAAGCAAAACCCTCACCAATCTGTACCAACCGGAATCCAGAGACTGGAGCGTCAGTTCAAGAACCAGCGAACCACCATGAGGCACACGGCAAATGCCTTGTGTGGCAGAGCTCAGAACAGCCAATACGAGGGGCGCCAAACCCACCACTTCTGGGGTTCACGTCTTCAAGGCATCGGAAAGCAAAACGGCGTTTGCTTGGCACCAGGAAGAGAGTAGGATGGGCCCAGTCAAGTCTGCTGGGGAGGGTATGCCACGCAGACAGCACCGGCAAGCTGCCCCTGTCCAGGAGCCAAACACCACGCCTCCGCGGCCAGGCCGCCCGGGGAAGGGGCACCAGTGCTGGCATCCGGGCACAAGAGGCTGATGTGGAAGGGGAGGAGCACCCTGGCCCCGGGCCGGCTTTTCCGGCATGCTGCCCGGGCACCCTTGCTGGGTAAGCTCGCTGGCCCAGAGGGAGGGAATCTGCAGTGGTCTGATGCACTCAGATTCCACAGGGTGGATTTGCACAAATTCGCAGTGGCAGGATGAGTTCCCATCCATCCCTGAAGGAATTCTGGTGTCCTCAGTGATGGGATGGCAGATGGAAAGACACCGAACCATCTGTGAAGCCCGGATGGTCGGTTTAACAAGGAGGTTCCTCTGGGATTCTGGTTAATGGCTACAGTGAATGGTTTCTCTGGCTGCAGCGCTTGGTCCCCTGATGGTGTTGAGTAAATGTCACCGGAGGGCAGGGCTAGCTAGAGCATGGAAGGGGGCGCACCCGCAATTGTAAAGAACGACAAAACAACATGTTGCGTGATGCAAGCCAGCATCTGTCGCTTGACGTGCGGCATCTGGAAAGCCAAGTGAAGGCTGAAGCCGTTAGGCCGGGGGGGGGGGGGGGAATCTTCCCAACACTGTAATTCTCCAGCCGCCAGAGGCATATTTTGCACAAAAACGGCATCGGCCGGGTTTCGAACGCTTGCAGGAGGTCTCTTCTCGATCCGGGTGCACATGCTCATCCCCTTCCGGGTTGAGTGGGGGAAACATTTGGGAACAGGGCATGTGCTTACCCGGAAAAGTCCCGTGCCGGTCGTGTGTCCTGCAGGTTCCTCTGTGCTCCTCCCGTCTTGTGGACGGACCTTCCTTCACGCAGCATGTGCTGGGCCCAAGGCCAGCCTGTCCCAGCCGGGTGCCCCCCAGCGGTGTTGGCCTGGGGGTTATGGGGGTTGCAGTCCCACACCGCTGGGGGGCAGCCGGTTGGGAGAGGCCAGCGGCCCGCTGCTCAGCCTGCTTGGCCAGCGGGAGAAGCCGCGATGCTCAGCCCGGGCTGGGCCCGGCACGGTCGCTCGGGGCTCCCCGCCACCGCTGCGAGGGGCGTGCAGTGGGCGCAGGGGGCTGGCTGCCGGTCCTGCTTGCTCGGCACAGCACCCGCCCTCCTCTGCTCTCTGCTGGAGCTGATGCGTGTCCCTGCCCAGGGGACGGAGGCGGGTACCCTTCTGTGGATCATTAGCGACAGAATCCCGGAAGCTCGTGGGGGCTGCGTGCGGAGGGTTTGCTGAGCGCGGGCTGGCCCTGGAGCACAGCCTCGCGGAGACCATGAAGCACCAGCTCCAGTACCTGGGCAGCTGTTTTGCCTTCTTCTCTGCCGGCTTCCTGATCGCCGCGACCTGGACCGACTGCTGGATGGTGAACACGGATGACTCTCTGGAGGTAAAGTGCGAGCGGACCCCGCATCCTCCCCGGGCCACCGGAATAAGCGTAGGCGCTGCGGCCGGACACCGCTCCCCCGGCTGCCCTGGCCATGGGCTCTTTGCTCGAGGTTTTGTAACAGCTGTGCCGCAGGCAGAAATTCCTCTGGGGTGCAGCTTTTCCTAGGACAGCAGAGCAGGGAAATCTTCACCAGCCAGATTTCTGTGTGCACTGATGAACGGCAGGAGCCTCCTAGGAAAAGCGGCCGATCGCGTTCCCCAGGGCAGAGGTCCAGCCTGGGGCTTGTGTTGTTCTGCGAAGGACCGTGCGTAGCGATGGTTCCGTGAGGTGGCAGATGCGGCTTTTTAACTGAGCAATGCCACATGCCTTTGCCCTCTTACCTGGAAGTAAGGCCCATGAAGCATAGCAGAGCCTGCAGCCAAGGAGGCTGGAACCAGACGGTGCTGCCCCACGCAAGAGGCACCACTGAACTCATGGGGGGATGGGGGGGACACGGGGAGGACTAGACTTTAATAGGTTGGGGGCTATTCATCCAGGAAAGTAGCATTCTGGATTCACTGGGTGGCATGTTTTAAAGTTGCCCCTATTTTTTCATAGCAGTGCTTCCTAAATGGCAGGCTCCATCCAAGAAGGGTCCCCCCCCTTCTGAGGGGGTGCCTGCGGAAACACACGCACAGCCCTTTAGCGGCCAAGGGAGCTGCTTTCTCCCCCCACAGCCACTGTTTTAGCCTGAAACAGTTTTACGAGGCTGCTTGATCACAGCAACTGGATGAGCGGCCTCGGGTAATCAGCCCTCATCATCCGAGCATCGTGCCAGAATCCCAGTGCAATTCCAAGCCTCGCCCCCTTGCGTTTCCTCGCCCCCCTTCTGAGTGCCTGGCCCTGGCTCTGATGAGGGCGGCTGAATGCCTTTCCGTGGAAGCACGTGGAGAGCGGTTCTGGGCACGAGGAACACCACTCCTTGGAGCGGCGCTGGGTCCCCGGAGGAGCCTCGGGAGCCAGGGCCATCCGGACAGCGTGATGGGCCCCGGGCAAGGCAGTGCGCTGGGGCCCCTGCGACAACGACTGCTAATCGTGGAGGTTTTCCCATTTTCCAAGGGTTCACATGCACAGATTAGTATGGGGCCCACGGGCGAGTGCCCATCAGGCCCACGCGTTGAGACGGCCCTGTTGGGGGCGCTGTCCCTTCCCCTGGCCTTTTTCTCTCCTGTCACCCATGAAAAGCCTTTTGGGAGGGAGGGAGGGAGGGAGGTGGATTGAAGCCCAGGGGCCTCTGCCCGGAGCACCGCCTGCCCTGCTGGCCGTGTGGCCCTGCTTTGCTCTCAGGGAGGAGCGACACGTGGGCGGAGGGAGCTCCTTGGGCTCTGCGCCCCCGAATATTGAAATAAGGGCTGGGGCAGCCAGATGGGACCCCCTGCTGGGCACGTGCGGGTTGCTCCGAAGTGCGGAAGGAGAATTGCAACGCCCAGGGAACAAGGGAAGGCGCATTGCAGGGACAGCAGATCGGCGCCGTGGAAGGAGGCCTCTCTCCGGCCGGTGGGGCTTGCTTCCAGGAAGGCAGGCGTAGGGTTAGGGGCGCAGCCCCGTGCGTGTTGGGCTGGCAGGGGCCATCCCGCTCCGAGCCTTTCCCAGCCAGGCGCTCAGTGCGTCAGCTTTCAAGCCCGTTGCCCACAGTTGCAGGGAAGCCCTGCTGCCTGGAGAGAGGCCGACGCAGACCGAGGGACCGCTCATTATGGGAACCCGCCGATACATCACCAGCGTTAACGGCACCGGTGGGTTTAACCTTGCCTCCTTGGTTCAAAGGCACCTCGGTCGCCACGTCCCTTCCATTGTTCATTAATGTGCCCTCGGGTTAGCGGCAGCCACGCTCGCCCGGCCCGCCCGCCCAGCACAGGGCCTCCGGCGTTAATACCTGATGGACTGCGCCGCTTTCCGCACCTAACCAGCTCATTGCCTCCCCGAGTGCCAGCCGGTGCTTAATGAGCCCTGAACCTTTCGGAGGGCTGGCGCTCGGATGCTCGGACGCTGGGATGGCAACAGCACAGCCCAGGCTGGCTCTGCAGGCAGAAGGGGGGGTGGGGTGGGACAGAAGCCCCAGGAATGAGCCAGACCATTTCCCCCTTCTGTGCATCTTCTGGAGATGACGGGGAACCTGATTCTCTAGGTTTCGCTTCTCTGGGTGAACGCCAGGGCGTGAGTCTCCTGGAAACCGGGCCTGCTGCCCCTTCCCCTCAAAATGAGGTGGGCGCTTGCGAATCATCCAGAAAGAGGACAGGCAAGGACACTGGTCTGCATGAAATGTGCAGCGTTGATTCAGACGAACAGTCGCACGATTTGAAACTAAGCTGTAGTTGGAAACGCCACACACCTCACAGGATATGGAAGAACCTGAGCAGGTGGCCCATGTACCCACCTGGACTTCAAGGCCCATCAGCTCTTCCTTCTGATGGCTCTTGGTCTTTCAGTGGGACTTGGGCAGGGCTGCACTTGAAGTAGAGAATGCCTTCAAAAGAGAGGACAGCCCTTCAAGCAGGGGACACTCTGTGCCATGGGACCCCTACCGCCTATCCCAGCGCTGGCTTTAGAGCAACGCGGACTCCTTGCCCATTGAGCTCAGGGGTGTCTCTTCCCACCACCAGCAGTGGCTTTCCAGGGCCTCGCCTGGGAACAGACTGGAGTCCGCTGGGACGCGAGGACGCGCCCTGCGGTCCTTCTTCCCCACGGGCCCAAAGCCTCCAGGGCCATGCCGCTGGCTTGGCTCACATTCCGCCCTTTCTCCAAAGGGGCCCCGGAGTCCCTGGCTGCAGCGCATCTCTCCCTCTCGTCCTCCCGGCGCCTCCTCCTCTGCTTGTTTCTGGAGCGGAGGAGACGGAGCGTGGGGCGGGGGCTTCTAACCAACGGCTTCCTCCCGCGCAGCTGACCGCAACCTGCCGCGGCCTCTGGTGGGAGTGCGTCACCAACGCGTTCGACGGCATCACCACCTGCGACGAGTACGACTCCATCCTGGCCGAGCACCCAGGTGCGTGCACGCCGGACCTCTCCAGCCGGGGCAAGGTGGGCAGGGTGTGCCAGGCACGCGAAAGGCACGCTGCAGGAAAGCCCTTACAGGGACATGCCACCATAAGGTGGGAAACAGGGTTAGCGTCGGCTTGGGCTTTAAGCGTTCCTCTTTAGCGTGTCGAAACCAAACACCATCCTTTATAGAGAAGCCAACGCGCTTCGCCTCCTTGGGTGCAGCCCCTGCGTGCTTGGACAGGAGAAGCCTGGCAGCTCCGTCCGGGGAATGCCGGGGCTTGTGGGGCATTGTGTCCTATCCAGGCGTACAGAGCGCTGCACCCCAGTGGCCTATCTGGCTTTTCTGCGGGGAATCTCCAAAGCGACTTACAAAGGCACATAAGTTGCATCAGAACTTTATAAGGGGAACTAAGCCACAAAGCTGGCGGAAGAGGCATAAAAAGGGAAATGGCCCGGACCTTTATCATTGCAGTGAAACCTCTCCTGTGGGTTTGGGGGATTTTGGCTCACGCTTACGGCAGGGAGCGCATGTGGAGAAATACAGAAGCAGCCGCATTCTTCCTTTTACCAGGAGCTGTTCCCTCGCCTCCGTCACATCCTGGGGCAATGGTGGTCTCGGCTTGTGATCGTGGCTGCCAGAGAGGGACCCCCTTCCTCCCCGTGGTGCCTCCTGGGAACCCCCTGGGGGCTGCGAGGAGAGGGAATGGCTGGAGAGAGGAGAGTTCCCACGGTGGACCTGACCATTGGACAGGTGCCCCGGGGAAAAGTCGCAGGCCGTTCCCGAGTCCAGCGCTGTGCGTAAGGCTGCAGTTACACTCAGAGGATCGTGCCCCGAGACTCGTCCAACGGAGTGGAGGGGCACAAACTATCTCACAGCATCCATGCTTTGCATAGAGAAGGTCCCAGGTTCTGTTCTGGTCATTTCCGGTTCATCTATTTGCTTTGGCATTCACTTATTATGTTTATGCCCCACCTTTTGCTTCCAAGAAGCTCGAGGCGGCTTGCATAATCCTCCTCTCCCGCTCAGTCCTTTCCTCACACACCCCAGGGGTCTGTGAGAGTCCGTGAGGCCCACAGTCGCCAGCGCGCTGCACGGCTGAGGGGGCGCCGGGATGCAGAGCCCAAACTCTTGACTGCCTGCTTTTATGGATTTTTGTAAGCTGCTCGGAGAGCTAGAGTTATGGTGGGTGCGGAAGGTGGTGGTGGTGGTGACGATGCCCCTACCAGTCCAACTCTCCCTCCACCATGCCACGCCGGCTCTCCGGACAAAGAGTCCTCGATTAAAACCGAGGATTAGGCGGTGGCCAGAGCCAATCCTCCCCTTTGCCGGAGAGCCCGAGAGGCCGCAGTTGTGGGGCCGGCAGTCCGGCTGGAAGGGCCCGCGGGAGGCGCCCCAGAGGCCCCCACCGCTGGCGGGTCTGCTGTGCCTCAAGACGGCGCTTCCCGCTTTGCAGTGAAGCTGGTGCTGACCCGGGCGATGCTGATCACGGCCGACATCCTGGCCGGCTTCGGGTTCACCCTCCTCCTCCTGGGCCTTGACTGCGTGAAATTCCTGACGGAGGAACCAGGCATCAAGACCCGCGCCTGCTTCATCTCCGGATTAGCTCTCTTGGCTGCAGGTAGTTGGCGCGCAGCCTTGGGACCTCGGTTCACGGCCATGGGACGGGGCCATGCTGGGCCTCTGGCCTCAAAACGAGTCTCATTCCAGGGGTGGGGCACCACAGAGAGGGTCCCGCGGGGACGGGGGGGGGTCATGCCAGGGCTGGAGGGCCACCCGGAGCCTCCCCTCTTTCCTGCAGGGGTCCCTGGGCTCATCGGCTCCACCTGGTACGCCGTCGGGGTCTACGTGGAGCGCTCCGCGCTGGTCCTGCACAACGTCTTCGTGGGCATCCAGTACACGTTCGGCTGGTCGTGCTGGCTGGGCCTGAGCGGGTCCCTGGGGTGCCTCTTGTCTGGCGCTCTGCTCACCTGCTGCATGCACCTCTTCAGAGGTGAGTCCTGCGGGCCATGGCAGAGAGCCTTGGGCCGGCAAGCACCCCAGTCTGGCTGCCACGAGCAGGCGCCTGCCCCCGAGGCCATGCCGGCACTGCCCCACGGCAGGCTTGCCCAGCACGCCCTCCATCTCCCGGGGCTCACATGGGTCTGAGGAGGCCGGGCCGGAGCCTGGGGCCAAGTCCACTCCGCCCGGTGCTGGTACTCCAGCTTGCTACTGGTGTCAAGCTGGCCGTGGCTCCATTCTTCACCGCTGGCTTTATCTTGTTTTTTTTCTGTTCTGATGGTCCCATTTGGATGCCAGGAAGCGTTTCCTGACAGTTAGGACCCCCAGGGTGTGGAATGGGCTCCCATGGGAGGTTGTTGAGGCCCCATCGGTGCGGGTGTTCAAAGGTAGGCTGGACATGCACATGGTGGGCATGTCGTGAGCAGAGCCGCCTGGAGCCGGAGGTCAGACTAGATGGCCCAGGAGACCCCTTCTGACTCGCTCTGTTTCTTTGTTTCTATATTTATATGATGTTCAATAGTGGCATTTTACATTTTTAGCATCAGTGATTGGATGGTTTAATAGTCTGCAAATACCATAAATTAATTTGCAGTAGTTCGGTATTTGAGGTGCTTCGACTGCACCTCTTTAGATTTCAGCCTCTCCCACCAAGGAAATCCAGCTGCAAGAGTTTCCCCAAAGTTGAGCTTAGAGGAAGGGCTGGAACGGGCCAACACCCCGTGCTCAGCTGCAGCAGGCAAGGCACGGGCAGAGCCGCGCTCGCCGTCCTCACTTGTGTTTTCGCACCGTCTCTCTACAGGTGGCAGCTCGGGCAGATGCCTCCCCGCCAGCCACTTCCAGAAGGACTATTCCCTGCCTGGGGTGACCAACCTGCACTGCTCCTCCTCCCAGACGGCCACAGCCAAAATGTATGCAGTGGACACCAGGGTGTGAGGAAGGCGGCACCGGAAGGAGGGGGCACTTCGCTCTGCTCCTTTGCACCTTCCCGGCTCGGCTGCAGCGCTTTGGAGCGTGGGGGTCCGTCCAAAGACTCCGGTTGCTTTTGCCAACGCTGCGCAGTGCATCTCCTCCTCCGTAACCGCCGATTCTTGCTTTTTTGAAGATACCACTAGGGTGCACCGAGTGTCCAATGCAGGAAACACCCAAGGAATCATTGATTTGGGGTCTTCTGCACTGGGGGCCACTGCTGGGACTTTCCTTCTGGGCCCCTTTCTCTCCAGCCGTAAGGCTTGTTGGGGGTGAGGGGCGAGCATTCCACCGTGGATGCAGGGCAAATCCAAACCCACAGAGCAAGGCCTCTTGTGGCGAAGAGAGAACGACGCAGCCCTTTGTAAAGGCAGCACGAAACAGACGTTTTTGGAGCCCGCTCGGTGGCTGCCGGTTGCTTTGGGCCAAATGTTGCTTTGGGGCAGCCTGTACTTCTGCCTTGTCATTGTCCGCAGGACCTGTATATGCGCGTGAGTAAACGGATGCCGTAAAACTGCCTGGTCCGCTGTGGGCCGTCTTTCCAAGGAAACAGGTTCGTCCAAGCTCCCCTAGAATTTCTGCTGACGGAGAAAACGAGCGCCTCTGGATCATGGTGCTTTGTGGAGACCCTGGTCAGGCAGAGAGAGGCGCAAGGGGGCCCTGGATCAAGTCGAACCAGGCCTTCCAGGCCTTCCTTGGAAGCAAACATTACCAAACCGGAGATGCTAGGGAGCAGAAGGCAGAAGAAGGCAAGGAAGACCAGTGGTGAGGTGGAAGGGCTCCAACAGGGAAGCCGCAGACTTGGGCTTGGGCAAGTCCAGCAGGACTGCCCAGGCCAGGCTGCCCTGGAGGGCTTCTGCTCACAGGGTCGCTGTTAGCCAGAGGCAACTTGACGGCACATCAGAACATCCGCAGGGCACGGGTGTGCGGGTGAGTCCCACAGGTCTTTCAGTGCAAGCAAGGCGGATCCCGCCACCTTCCCAGGGCATGCACGGGGGAAAATCCATGCGCCACCTGCATGCGTGAAGCCCTCTGTCGCTGCGTTGCACAGAATTCTTCACCAGCACGGGGCACAGGGGTGTTCCGAGCATGTGGAGCTCAGATCCTGCGGCAGCTCTGTCGCTGCGGGTGCTTTGGATGGACAGCAGGCACCTCGCACCTGTTTTTCAGGCAGCCGTCGGGGTCCCTCGAGCTGTTTCTCCCAGCCTCATTTCATAACTCAGGCCAATGCCGGCCCTGTCACGCTTCACTCTGATGACTTCCATTGATTTTGTTCATCAGTTTTCATATGATATTTGCACCACGTCAATGAAACTTTCTTCTGGGCGAGGAAAAGCAAATCGCGGCTCAGACAGTCTTGGCTGAGAAGAAAGGGGGAAGGGCTGCGTTATTCCCACTGCACAGGCAGGTTTGGCATCTCTGCCAGATGAGAGGCGAGGACTAAGAGCCGCTGGCCCACCCGCCCGGTCTGGGGCTGCCCCGTGGCTGAAACCATTGTGGTCAGAGGCCTGCGGTGCCGCGGGGGGGGGGGGGGGAAATGAGGCTTGCAAAAGAGTGTGCTGGAGGAAAGAGAGAACCGCAGCAAGGGGGCCTTTATTCTGGGGCACTTTCACTCCCTCGGCCCGGGGAGGGGGTGGCGTGCGGGCAGCTTGCACTGGGCCGCAGAGCCCCCTCCAAGCGGCTCCAGCTGGCCACGTGTCTGCCGGACACATCAGAAGCTGCTGTCAGAGCACACTGGTCCAGGGGAATGCCCACAACGGAGAAGCCGCACTGCACACGGAAGGGAGGCTGTGTCTCGCCCTGGTGGTCAGGAGCAGCGGGAGGGAAACGCTGCCCATGTGGCTGGTCAAGGTGGGGATGGTGGGGATTGGCATTCCGCCCAAAGGTTTTGTTATCATTGTGTTACACATAAACGAAGAACCCAAGTTTCCTTTTTCGTGCTCCAAGCAGTTGCCTCTTTCTTTATACATGTGCACTATTTTTAGAAATGCAGTACGGATAAAGTTAGACAGCGGGTGAAAAAAGGTGCATCCCTGTAGGTGTACGAACATTGCTTGCCGCATCTCTTGCCGCCTCCTGGCCATGCGCAGTGCGTGGTTTCCCCCCTGGCCCGGGCCTGTCTTTTCTCTCCGCTGCCGTGGAGCTCAGGCTAATGAAGGAACCGTCTCCGGCTTCAACCTCAGATTCTTAGGGTGGCAGTTCAGTTCCGGCACCGCCGGTCTGTGCAGGCCCCCTGCAGCCCTCACCGTGTCTGTGATCGCAGCCCGGCTGAGAGGTCGGGGCTCCCGCTCTGGCGGGCCAGCGGGAAAGGCATGCGCAGAGGGGCCTCTCCCAAGCCGGCCCTCTCTCCCAGTCCAGAGACATTCCAGCAGTGCCCGGAAGTGGAGTGTGGAGGAGGCCAAGGAAGTGAGGAGGAGGAAGAGGAGGAGAGAGGGCCAGAGGGTGAGACACGTGGCAGGGGGCCTGTGGAGCCTGCCACTCGTCTGAGCATGCCGCCCCCAAAAAGCGGGTGTTGGGGTGAGGCCGGGCACGGCTCCCATGGGTACGCAGTGGCAGCAGGAAGCTCTGGAGGCAGCGCACGGCCAGGGAGGTCTCATGGCCGGCAGGGATTCCTTTCCATGGGTGGCTAAGAAGCACAGAGCAACTGCAGCTTCCGGCCACTCCTGCGGCAGGCAGGGCTGCTCGAGGCCCTGGGAGCTGTTCTGTGGGCCCGGCCTGCAAACGGGCGGCTTTTCTCCTGGAAGGTTCCGACCCAGCTCTTTTTGGAGGCTCCCCTCCGAGCCCCAGGCAGACTGTCCCGCTGTCGGCGGGGCTTACTCCCAGGTAGGTGTGCGTGCGTAAGGCTGCAGCCCTAACCGGGCATACCTGGAAGTCAGCCCCGCGTCACTCCGTGGGGCACATGTCTCCAGAGCAGACGTGTGCAGTGGCCAGCCCCGGCTGGCCCGGTGAGGTTCACGGATCAGCCTGGAAGCTCTCGGGGTCTCTGTTCCCCACCCTCCTCCCTGCCCTGGAGCCCTGGCCAGCTCCCTTCAGGCCGAGCCCTGTCCCGCCTCCTCCGGCTCTTCCGGAGGTGGACTCTGTCCCGCAGGGTTTCTCGAGGGATTGGACGCTCCCCATCCAGGCAGCATTCAGTGGAAGCAGCAGCTGCGGAGCAGCACGTTCCTGCACGGAGGTGCGGCATCGAGGAGCCCGTGATTCTTCTAGGACTGTCAATCAGAGACGGGCGCTTTCCCAGCCGCTGTGCGCACACAACTGGCTCATCTCTGTCTCAGTGCAGCTCGTGGCTTAAGAAATCATCTCTAGAGCCCGTTCATTAAGGATGAGAGAAGGGGCCAAGAAAGCCCCTGGGGCAAAGCCTCGAATCACAGACTAGCGAGCTGCAAGGGCCAAGAGGCCGCCAGGTCCAATCCCTGCTGGGCACAGAACTCCAGGTGGAAGCAACCCCAGCAGGTGACCCTCCAGAGGCATCTCGAATGCCTCCAGGTGGGAGAGCCCGGCACCTGCGGGGTCATGGGTCCCATCGTCCCACTGCTCCAACGGTCAGGAATTTGTTCACGGCATCTAGCTGGAATCTGGCTTCCTGCAACCTGCGCCCTGCACTCTGCACTCTGGAATGGTCGAGAAGAGATCCTGGCCCTCCTCTTTGTGAGCACCTTTCAAGTGCTTGGAGAGTGCAGGTGCTCTCCTGCACTCCCCTCGCTCTTCTCCTCTCCTCTCCTCTCCTCTCCTCTCCTCTCCTCTCCTCTCCTCTCCCCTCTCTTCTCGGGACTCAACATGCCCAGTTCTTTCAATCCCTTCTCACAGGGCTTGGTTTCCAGGCCCCGGGTCGTCCTTCCCACCCTCCTCTGAACCCTTCCCAGTCTGTCTGCATCTTTCTTCAACTGCGGTGCGCAGGAGTGGACACAGGACCCCAGAGGAGGCCCAGCCAGTGCTGAGTGAAGGGGAGCCAGTACTTCGCGCGGCTTGCAAGCGATGCTTCTCTTAATTTTGCAGCCGCATCCCACTGACTCTTATTCAGCCTGGAAGCGCCAGCAATTCAAGAGGCTTCTCAGTGCCCGTGTTGTTGAGCCGAGCATCCCCCCCTCTTGCAATCATGCACGTGGTTTCTTTCTGCAAGGTGCAGAACTTGGCCCTTGTCTATACTGGACTTCAGCCCAGTGCTCCACCTGTCAAGATCACCTTGAACCTTGTTTCTGTCTTCTGGGCATTAGCCACCCCACCCAGTTTTCTGTCATCCGCACGTCTGACCGTTGCTCCTGGCGCTTCCTCATCCACGTCCTTAGCACCGGCCCAGGACCGAGCCCTGCAGAGCCCCCCCACCCCCCGTTGCCTCCCCCCAGTCTGAGAAGGTGCCTTGGGGAGCGCCCTCCGAGCCGGCTCTGCAGCCAGCCGCGGCTCCACCTGGCCGTTGTTCCACCCTGGGCCGCCGTGCTGGCCGGGCTGCGGTGGGGCAGCTTGCCTGGAGCTTTGCTCTTTGGAGTCCAGGTCCACTCTGTCCACAGCGTTTGCGCGGCGCTCCGGGGAGGCCACCCCGTCAGCACTCGTCGGGCAGCGTTCCTTCTTGGCAAATCCACGCTGGTTCCTAGTCATGTCGGCACGGCTTCCAGGGTATTTTCAGACGGAGAGCTTCAGGATCTGCTCCAGAATTTTCCTGGGGCCTGGCATCAGTCCGACTGATCTGCCAGTCCTCACATCCTGCTTTTCTTCCTGTTTGAAGAGCAGTGGCCGCCCCGCAGTCATCGGGCACGCACCCTCCTCCGTGGTCTCTCGGAGACGGCTCTGCGACCAGTTCCTGGCCTACCGGAGGGGCAGGCGCCTAAAGGTGTTCCAAGTCACGGCGTGCTGCTGGACTTGTTGCCCATCAATCGCAAGCTGAAAGGGGCCAGCCTGAGCTCCACAGCGAATCCTGAAGCAGAAGCCCCAGTAAAGCCGTGGGTCAAAAGCTTCGTGCAGAGAGGCTCCCGGCC